CATCACAGACTACAAGATGTTGTAACACAGCTGATCAAAGATAAGGATTGCGATGACAGGGTGAAATAAGAAATGAATTCACCTCTCACTGCGCCAGAGGATAGATAAGTCATCCTTGGATCAGCTGAGGAAGAATTAAATTATTTTCCCCTCTTTTAATACTCGAATCCTCCGCCAGCTGGGTCCGGCACTCGACTCGTTAAATTGTTTACACTGATCAAGTTGACGGTAGAGTACTGACTCGCCTTTCTAATCGCCCTTTTACTTGACCAATGTAAACCAGACTTAAGGTGTATATTTTAATACATTCGCTTACTTACCATTATCTCATCTACTTGAAAACTATTCATACCAAATATCAGACCCATGACTATATACCTTGGCATGTATGTAGTCAATACTATTGCTTTTCCTCTGGTGTTAACAAAAAAAAAACAAAGTTAACCGAAGAATGAAGCGCAACGCGTATAATGCCATCAAATAAGAGAAACACACGACACCTCTTTCCCAGTGGCTTTACACACAAAACACAAGCCGAACATGGTTATTTACAATAGGATCAGAAGTTACTTGGGTTATCTAGAACTTAAGGAGCAGTCCGAATAGTACATAGCATTTGAATGTTTCCTTTAAATTACCTTGCTAAGACTCGCGTCTAAAGAAATCTGATGTTATTGTTTTCACGTACAAAAGCTTATATGCATGTTTTCTAGAGGACGCTCACAGCAATGGCCCGTGGAATAGTTTGCCTGAAGAAAACTTATTACTTTGTACATGCGTGTAACGTAAACAAAAAACATCACAAACCCCTTATGAAATTTTAAAGTTGTTACTCCGTTCAAACAGCCGTGGCACCTGACGGATTAGGAGACCCCATGGAAACCCTTGGGGCCTCCTAATCCCTCAGGTGCCACGGCTGTTTGAAGTATTATGAAATACTTGTCTACGATTTCAGTGTCAAATTCATGGTTTGCTAAGTATTACCAGTATGCTTTATCTATGGTATTACCGTATTACAAATTACCCATTGGCTATTAAATAATCTGTTTCCCATTAGTTTAAGCATAGACAAGGTTTAGGCCAACAGTGCTGCAAAACCCCACGTATTGATGTCGTAATTTTTACGACTTGAAAACAAACGTCGTCTACAAATTTACCCTCGACAATCGATAGGGCGATAAATTTCACTTTAGACGAGAAGAAAACTAATTAGGGAATATTGGCTGAGACCGAAGAGAATACGAATGAGATTAGGGACGGGTAAGATGTATATTGGCTGGGAAGAAATATAAACGTGTTAAATGGCGACATTTGTTACAGAAACTGTATAACATGGAAACATCACGCCTATTAGTAATAAGTCTCGTTCTATTTTTGTGCATGACCTCAGGCACGATTTTGACTACTTGACATATCCTCGCAAAATCTCGAGCATGAACTGGACAACATTGTCGAAAATGGTCAACGGGAATGAGATTGTAAAAAACGTTATTGCCTTATTCGGGTCGTGCATTAATTGCGCCAAGCCCAAGACAAGTAGGGATGTGTTGCCGGCAGAAGGGATGCCCTTGTTTACGTGTAATCCTAACCTAACCTATCTAACCTACCATAACCTAACCTAACCTAACCTACTCAATTATACAGTCAAAGAGGGCCGCCACTTGGAAAATATCGGGTGGCTCCCTGGAGTAGTTGGCGCAATTCAGGAATACTTGGCTACCTGACTCAGGTCAGTTGGCACAATTAATGCCCGCCCCTTATTCGTGCTAAGTAGTATTAAATTAGGAGACTAACTCGCTTGGTCACTCTTGTTTGTGGCTTAGTGGTGGCGATTGACCATTCGGTGTCGGGGCAATTGCGGATTCGGAACATTGCGGACACATCTTTAGCGGGCGATTGCGGATACCATGGATTTATTTAGCTCAGTACCATCTCAAAGGGGTTTACAGTTTCCTATAAATATTTCATAGTCGGGAAAATGCAGATATATGGATCTACTAGCAGAGTACCCGTCCTTCGTACGGGATTGGCATAAATGTATACAATGTTTATTGCAGTTATACTCAAGCTTTGCGTTTGCAATGGGGGAGGACAGTTTGATAAAATATTTACGGTATACTATAGTATTACACATCTAACATAGCCATAATCTTATGGATCTATGAATGGGAAAAGGGTGTAATGGACCTGCCATGGTTTATAGATTTCTCCCCAATGAAAAAATTCACCGAATAAGGTCGGTGTTTTTATACATGGAAACATTCAGGAAATGTGGGCCTCTTCTGCAAAAGGACCACACGAATATTAGCAGGCGAAATAAATATTTTTGGCTACCGTTCTCTGTATAATAAGCGTTTTCCTTGGGTTTAGTTAAGCTGTGAATTTGCTGTGTATTATTTTTTTTCACTAACTAAAATCACACGGGAATAACTACTCGTATTGTCTGTGCTAAAATAAATCTTTAAGCTTTCAAGATTAAATACAAGTTTAAGGGTCTCCTGTATAAGTCTCAAAAGAAGGTGAGTCCGAGTCCAGGTCTGCAAACTAGATGTTTATGTCTATCTTTGTAGTCCTGGGGTCCTGGTCCGAACCGTGATGAAGACGACGGAATGACTGGCAGCGTCAGGGGCGTACAGTCAAGGATAACAACTCTGCACCGTACTAAAAACATCACCGCAATAACACCCGGACGGAAAACATGGGTCAAACCGGTCCAGAGGAGGTTGTGATCACTCGTCTCATAGGAGCAGAGAGTAACACACGTGGTAGGCTGCGTTTACATTGGAGGCACGCTTGGGCAAGTAAAATGGTGGTGCACGCTTGGTCAAGCTTGCCCTTTCTTTGAAACAAAATTGTAGCATATTACGGGAAACCTGTGGCGACTTGTCTAGGCATGGTTATACAGTAGTGCTGGCCACTAGCAAGCGCACGATGGGACAAGCTTGCGCTTCTCAAATCACGAAACAAATTTGTTTCTTGAAGCAAGCGTGCCTCAGTTTGTTGTGGTCCACTGACAAAGTAGCATCGGTTGTGTATCTTTAAACTGTATTTTTTTTTATTTATTTAACTGTTGTTATACGTTTTTAAATTGTTCAACGTGGATACTGAGGCGTTAAATTGACGTAGTCGTAGGAGCGGACGTACATTCCAAGTTTGCAATACTTAGTAGTTGGTATACTCTATTGCTATTTGCTCGCCTTCAAATCTGAAGGTTGCTTGTTCGATCCCAAGCTGGACCAAGATTTCATTTGTCATAGAGCCATATGACAAGTCCAGGGTTCGCTCCATCTAAAGAAGCGAAGTGCACGTGTATCTTTTGAGGACTCTTTCTTTTCCTTTTATGTCTAAACCCTTGCGAAGTCCGTCTTTTATATTTTATATCTAGTTTATTAATTGAGAATTTCAAGTGTGTTTTGCAAATATACCCAAGGTTACTGAAAAGGCCATGAACCATACCAGTTTTCGAAACACTTGAACTAACAGCGAAATTATAATTGAAATTCTCTGTGACATCTAACTAATCGTTTGGACGACGTTAATAAGATAATTAATTTGTTATTGGTTCTTGTAACCAATGGGGAGCTTCTACATCGACAGCAATTACAGCTGTTTAACCTAATACATAAATTGTAATGATTATATCGTTTAAAAAAGTCTACTAGCATAGTACTGTGTAGTACTCTAGTACAATTACTCTAAATCGACCATCATTCTGCTAAGCTATAGCGAAATTAAAAGTTTTATTTGATTTAATATTAGATACACCTTTTTTAATAGTTTTGCACCCCACTGACTAGTCAAGTTGACCATAGATTAGAATTATTTTGTCTATGATTTGACTTACCGTACACTTCACTTGAATGCTATCACCGTACAGTTCTGTGGCGGTCAGTGTGGGTTTAAATTTTTAATTTTTTTTAAACTGTATTTTGCAGAAGATACTCGCACAGCCAATTAAACCTCTTAGGTATTTTTGTGTGTGTTTAAAATGTTATCCATAATGTATTGAAATAGTAATTTGTGTAACTAGTATACGAAGTGGCACTTTGCTGCACATGAGAGAAATGTTTACGCAAGAGCCTCAGGCGAATGTGGAAAGTTTCTCGAGTGCAACAAAGGCAATTTGCACTCGTTTACACATTATATTTTTCTTACATTAATTCTAAAGCATAGAAACACTTAGTCTTTCAAACACTAAACAACACGTTTTAGGTTATCCAAGCGTTGAACGAAATGTGAAACACTGTAACAACTGATCGCAGTCGTAGTATATTTAAGTGTTGCCTACTTATTTTCAAGCGTACACGTATTTCGTACATAATAAAAGCATACGGTTTCTTGTCGTTTGGTTGGGATACTGGAGTGCGGCAAAAAAATGAGTGCTGCAAAAAAATGAATGCGGCAAAAGTAAAATTATTGCGAAATAAGTAAATGAAGTAATTAACTACTGTACTTTGCGTGCAATTATCAGTACAAGAAAGCTCACTTTGTCAGGTAACTGTAGGAAATATTATTTCCGTATGCTCCGCGTAAACTTTGCAGAAGCACGATACGGTTACTCTATAGTATTTGCCTGTCTCAGCGTCCTCTGACCCCTGACCTGCCTCAAGGTTCTGAACTCCTGGAAGTCTCGGCCACCAACCACATCCCGTGACGTCATCAGTCGTGACTTCCGCCTCAGCAGCCGAGATGTGTGCTGGTTATCACATCTGTAGTCATTACAAGTACAACACATACATTTTTTGTCCTAGGCACGAGCCCGGGATTGTTTTTCACATTACTTAAGGCTATACCTATAGGGTTGCGGCATTATAACTTAGATAAAATCTAAGTATCTAAGATAATAAGTAATCTAAGATAAAATCACTTAGAACATAGACAATATAATTAGTATAAAAATAATTTGGAACAGAATTTTTTTCGTAATTGCTCAATATGTGAATTGAAGTTTATATTTTGTTCTATTATTATACATTTCTTAGTGTAGCGTTTTGTTTCAGCTTTGGATTTGGCCCAGAACAGCAACGTCCAAGATGCGTTTCTCATTGCGGTGGAGCAGCAGGCACGCGAGCGGCTCGAGCGCCTCTCAGCGCTCAAAAAGATCAAGCCGGTCGACATGAGCAAGCTGTCACAACAGGTAATGTGGTGGATCTATTTGGAAAAAGCTGTTGGCTGTATCACTTTTGTTCCGAGGCTGAAGGCAAATTTCTTCACATCACTTTTGTTCCGGCGGTCAGCAGGTAGATTTCGGGACCGGCCGAAACATCGCTTTTGTTCCGCCGACATCTTTCTTGTTCCGCGAGATAGGGGGCTGTACTCTCCCTCCCCCAAACTCTCTCTTTCGCCCTCCTTCTAATTCTTTCATTCATGCGGGCTTTAAAACTCAACAAAAATACCAATAATTTAAATAATAACCTATCCTTACCTAATGTGACCTAACCTAACCTAATTTACAAAAGAAATAATTAGAAGGAGAGTGAAAGATAGGTTTTGGGGGAGGGTTAATGTAACTCCCTCTCTCGTGGAACAAGAGAGATGTTTCGGCCAGCCCCGAAACCTACCTGCTCATCCCGGAACAAAAGTGATGTGAAGAATTAGCCTTCAACCGTGGAACAAACGTGACACAAGCAGCTGTTAGTTTGTAAAAGACAGGCGATGCAGGTTTGGCTTATACAGGGTTAATAAAAACCTGGAGACCCCTATTAATCGGTTACACCAGGAAAGCCAAACTATGCAGCACACTATATAGCATAGAAGTGCACATTTTTGTTGGCATCCCAATTTCGTCCGAAAACCCAAAATTGGTTATTTTGGGGGCAGCTCAAAAGTTTTATATGTAAAACCCCATAAATTGACAATTCATTTGAAAGGTAATTAGTTTAAAAGAATGACGGTGAAAACTAGAGGTCTCAATCTCAACCCGTTACAAAATGGCAGCCATTTTCATTTTTCATCACCCTGAGAGACGCCATGTAAAAATATACATCAATATCCCCTATTTTTGGGGGTTGTACAAGGAAAACTAAACACAATTTTACTGTAACAAGAAACTAAAACTACTTTTTGGTCGGAATGGCAATTTTGCCCATGAGCCAAAATGGGGTGTTTTGGGGTCAGTTCAATTTTTTTAAAAATATAAATCCCCCTCAAGTGACACCTCTTTTTGAAGGTCATTAGTTTAAAAGAATATCGTTGAAAACTAGAGATCTCTATCTCAACCCAATACAAAATGGCAGTAGTTTTTAGTTATCCAGAATTTTTACTAATCCTGTATATGATTTATATGCGCTATCGATAAAGATAGGTTTACATGAGTGAGATTAATCATGCAAACCATTATTTGAATAGGTTGGATCTATTTTGGCTGTATCTATTCTGTAGGAGTAGATTTCCAATGGAAGCTTAGCTTTTTTGAAATATATACGTGGTAGGTAGTGATCAAAAATAAATTGGAGATTTCGAAATGTAAATGAAATGCCCTTTTCAATGGGCCAGTTAGGAATAGTTATTGTAGATTGTTGATGGAAGATTGGCCATTTGAATGTGGTTTCTATGTGACAACGAATTTAAAACAACGTGCAGGTCATAGGTACATGATTTATCGGGCGGGCATTTATTGCGCCAACTGACCTGAGTTAAGAGTCTTCCGTAGTGGAAGCCATGTTGGATTTCTTCCCCAGGTAGTCGGGTATTCCTGAATTGCGCCAACTACTGCAGGGATCCACCAGATACGTTCTTTAACTAAGCAATGCAGCGGCCCTCTTTGACTGCATAATTGAGTAGGTTAGGATAGGATAGGATAGGTTCAGTTAGGTTAGGATAGGATAGGATAGGTTCGGTTAGGTTAGGATGACACGTAAACAAGGGCATTCCTTCTGCGGGCAACTCATCCCTACCTGGCTTGGCGCAATTATGGAACTCTTTGGTGCAATTAATTCACGACCGATTTCAGAGGGAACGAAAATGATCCATCCGTCAAATTGATTTCTTACAGATATTTCACTCATGCCTATAAAAATGAGTACAACATGACTCATGGTGTTCTTACTAATAGGCATAGACAGTGTGGGTTGAACATATGGCTTGGTAATCATACCGATGGGTAATGCCACACTTTATAAATTCAAGGTTATACCATAGATTAAACATACTCCCTAAGGAAGCATGTTTAATCTGTGGTTATACATATATTATATTCTTTAGTGAATGTTTAGGTTTAAACAGATTACCCGTGTGTGTTAATATAAACTAAATACTGTTAACACTAATATTATTTCAATTACAAATAATGGAATTAAAGTACCTACTATTTTATAATAATCGTAAGTTGGGGGTGTATATATTTAGATAATGTATATAAGGATTCCATGATGTAGTTTTATTTTAACTGTACATTTGATAATGGATACTTGTGTGATCCCAGTTAATGATTGTGTTATCGCGATTGTTATGAACACTTTAATAGGACAATAGTAGTAGGCCTACTTTAGTACCTATGCCAAGCATAACATAAGATAACAAAAATGCTAACACGTCACACTTACCAAATTCCAGCATTATTTGTCATTTGTTTTACTACAGACTAGTTCTTTTGGTTCAGAAAATCAATCATTATTTTGCATGTTTGAGCTTTGCTATGCCTTCATCATAGTGGCCATAGACTAATTAAGTGTTCTGCTATTGTATACATCATATGCAGTCCTGAATGCCGCTAAATATGCATCATATGGTGAAGTGGTATACAGTATAATCAACGGTATGACGTGTATATGAATGTTTGCATATCGTTGTCATTCAATGCATTTACCTTAAACAATCAATCAATCCCTGTGGAAATAAACGTATTTATAATAGAACATAAGTTCTGTACCGATTAAAGGCAAAATTTAAATTGTGTACGCATACATTAACAACCCATGAAAGAAATCAACCAGAACGTAAAAACGTAAAAAAGAGAATCGGATGTTGAGGCTAACTTAGTTGAAACAAAAGAATTTTAGATATTTTTTTTACAATTGGACGTTTTAAGTTAGTTGTAAAGTAAAATAAATGTCAATTGTCTATTCGCCAGGTGGAAACTGCGATAACGCCAGTATTTGATGAGAATTGGCTTTGTTGAAAGCGGGTCGTTTGGAAACGGTGTTGAGCTCCAAACAATGAGGGATCTAGAGCGCTGCCTTGTATGCGCTCAGACTTAACACTCATCTTCGTATTGATTTGTGATGTCATCTGTGTATCAGTGTGCTGATCGAATTCAACATGTGATCACATTTTATGGAAGTTTTCTTACTCCTTTAAAGTACACTAGTGTACCTGTTGCTCGAATTCGAGCGATTGTGAAGCATTACAGGCGTTAGTAACGAATAGTAGTCATAATTTCCGATGGCTTTAAAAGAGTTGACTCAAAGATTATGTAAATACTCACGGTGTACATAAAAGTTCGATATAATCAACATTTCTTATAAATATTATCATTTTTCAAAAGCAGATCTGGTTTATTATTGTTTTCTACAAATGTTTCCCACTCATAGCCGCATTAGGTTGTCCATAAAAACGATTATAAATTCTAAAAAGTATATTCCCATTTCTTCTACTTGGTGGTTTTCAATGACTTTCCTATTTTTCCATAGTTTGCTAATCGGCTCTTTCAATGATTGCTCAAGAAATGCAGCACAGTGTTAATTCAGTTTTCTTTTTAGTATATCAAATTGTCCAAACTTTCTCGCTTTTTTCCATTGTAATATTTACGCCAAACCCAATTTAAAAAAGTATTAAAATATATACTTTCAACCAAGTGAGTAGGCCTAAATGTTTGTACCACACGTTTCCTTAAATTTGCAACTAAAATATAAACAGAAATTAAATTATCCAGCTGATCAAAATTTAAACAAATATGTTCTTCTTAACTCTTTCAGGGCTATGCAACGATATATAGTTTTGTTTTTTTTTTCCTCTAAGGGTTATAGAGAGGAAGGTTATTTTAACAAAAGGTACCAAAACAGCCATTGGTGACCTGCATGCTCATAGGATACACTAACAACCACTTAGCTAAATGATTCACCCAATCCGAACTGTAACTGGGCCAGTACCGGGTTATACTAGGCCAGTACTGGGTTATCCTGGGCCAGTACTGGGCTATTCTGGGCCAGTACTGGGTTATACTGGGCCAGTACTGGGCTATTCTGGGCCAGTACTGGGTTATACTGGGCCGGTACTGGGCTATTCTGGGCCAGTACTTGGTTATACTGGGCCGGTACTGGGTTATACTGAGCCAGTACCGGGTTATACTGGGCCAGTACCGGGTTATACTGGGCCAGTACTGGGCTATTCTGGGCCAGTACTGGGTTATACTGGGCCAGTACTGGGTTATACTGGGCCAGTACTGGGTTATACTGGGCCGGTACTGGGTTATACTGAGCCAGTACCGGGTTATACAAGGCCAGTACTGGGTTATACTGAGCCAGTACCGGGTTATACTGGGCCAGTACCGGGTTATACTGGGCCAGTACTGGGCTATTCTGGGCCAGTACTGGGTTATACTGGGCCAGTACTGGGTTATACTGGGCCAGTACTGGGTTATACTGGGCCGGTACTGGGTTATACTGAGCCAGTACCGGGTTATACAAGGCCAGTACTGGGTTATACTTGGCCAGTACTGGGTTATACTGGGCCGGTACTGGGTTATACTGGGCCGGTACTGGGTTATACTGGGCAACCTTAATTTTTTGTTTAAAGGTGTAAGGCGGAATAAACTTAAATAAGATCACGAACCAGCATGATTCGACAATGGAAACGGGGTTTTACAGGGGGTTAATTCCTCTCTATATCCCTTAGAGATTAAAAAAACAACGATATATCGTTGCATAGCATCGTTGCAAATCTACACATCTAGACGAATATTTTGGTATATATTATGTGGGGTTAAATCTTAAAACAAAAAAGCCTTATTGTTCATAAAGTTTCATGTAGCGTATTAATAATATAGAAGATTGTATTTAAATAAAATGTAATGTATTTTAAAATGGTACTTAGTTTTGAATTATGTATTTAATTTTCAAAATAGTAGCTCTAAACACCACAATTTTCATAATATATCTATATTATTTCATAAACTGTAATAGGTAACAGAACGCAACA